GTTGTTTATATCCCAGATATTTCGTTGTAACTGTTTATGAAGTGAGACTAAATTATTTTTATATCCTATGATGATGTCTAACTCATGGGTATAAATTTTGTAGATATATCTATCCTAGTATTACATTGCTATTGACTTCATAGTCTAATTATTCATCATATATCAGTCTTTCATAGTTAAAATAAGAAGATATAAATTTATTAGATGAGTCAACTTGTTTTGGTCATTAATTTGAGGTAATTTTTTCTTCATTTGATAGATAGATTCTGAAGAGGATTTTTTGATGCAATGGTGAGAAATGCGTTGGAGACTTGTAGCTTGCCTTATTTGTCTTGTTGTTCAGTATTGTGCGGCTTGAATGTATAATCATAACAAGAAAATAACTTATAATATGAGTTTCACAAGAGAAAGGGTATGTAAATAAGTATTGTATCGAATAACTTGTACTTCTAGTAGTTGAGATATTATTAGAATGAGTTCTAAAGCCTTCTTAGGATTGTGTGACATGTTAGAAAGAGATGGTGACCTGATGCCCACAAGGTACTTAAATGTGGAAGAACAAGTTACTGAAACCCTTTACATCTTATCACATAAAACAAAAAACCATGTGGTTAATTTTTGGTTTAGGCGTTCTGGTGAGACGGTTAGCTGTCATTTCCATAGCGTGTTAGGTGCTATCATTAAATTAGAAGATAAATTCCTTATACAATTAGATGGCTCTAGAGTCCCTCCTGAAATTAAGGTTAATGACAAATTTTACCCATATTTTAAGGATTGTGTTGAGGCTATAAATAGAATACATATACGTGCCAAAGTACCTATGATAGATGCTCCTTGTTATCGCAATAGAAAGGAATTCCCTACACAAAATGTGTTAGCAGCTTGCACATTTGATTTAAGGTTCACTTATGTGCTTATTGGATGGGAAGACACTACATCTGACTCAAAAATTATAAAAGATGTATTAATACGAGAAAATAGATTTAAGATTCTTCAAGGTAACTATTTCACTAATTAGTAAAAAGTGACATAATTAAATAACCTTACAAATTTAAGACTAATAAAGTGACTATTTTATTTGATGATGGGGAAATATTACTTGGTCGATGTTGGATTCATGTTAACAAGTGGTCTTATAACACCTATAGAGGAGTTCACTACCATTTGAAAGAATATTCAGATAGAAATTCACCCCAAAGTTGTAGAAAACTTTTTAATCTTCAACATGCATCATTGCCTAATGCAATTGAACAAGCTTTTGGGGTACTGAAAAACAAGATTTGTAATTTTATCAAGTGTCACAAAGTCTACTTATATAGTCAAAACTCAAAAGTTGATTATTGCTGCATGTTGCATTTTTCATAATTACTTGATGAATATAGACCCTGATGAAGAGCTTATCCGTGAAGTGGATGATGAGAGTGCAACTCAAGATGAATCTAACAATAATAGCTATACTCCAAGAGGTGACAGAACTGAGACAGCTCAAGGTGAGATGATAAGGGATGCAATAGCTCATCAAATGTGGGATTAATTATGGAAATAATCATAGGAATAATGCTAGGAACTAATCCTTACATGTTCTTTTATTGTATGGTTAGTAGTTTATTGTATTTCTTGAATATGAACAATTAGTATGGCTCCAAAGACTACTGATAAGAACTTGGTTAGGACTTCCAAGATGGATGATGCCATGATTGATGCACTCATGCATGAACTTGATATCGGAAACAAAGTTAATGGAACATTTACAACTATTGCTTATGATAACATAACACAATATTTGAGTATCCTGTTTGGATTTAAAGTTAATAAGGAGAAGGTCAAAAATTGTTGGAAGACTTTAAAGAAGAATTTTTCTGAAATTCATGACATCTTCAAGGGGGTATGAGTGGCTTTTTATGGAACTTGTCCACTAATAGATGATAAACTAAGGAGCAAGTTTGGGATCAATTAATTGATGTAAGAATAGTAAATCCTTCATTCTGATATTCATATGATTTTACACGTTTACTTTCCAATGAATCTATTATTTGGATATTCATGGTATAAAATGTGTTCTTTAGGTTAAACCAAAAGCAGTCCTTTGGAGAAATACGTTTCTACCTAATTACGAAAAGATGTTAGCTTTTTATTGAAATGATAGAGCCAATGGAGATGATGGTGATACTCCTATAAATATGAAGAAACGACGACGTGTAAATCCTCATAAATTTGTTGATTCTATCAACGAGGTTGATCAACTTGACTCTCAAAATGAAGTGACTTTGGAGAATTTCTTAATCAATATGGAAACTCTCCCGCTTGGTGACCACTCTCTAAAAGCAAATAACGAGACTAATAAGAGGACAAAAAAAGTGGTACATCTAAAGATAGAGATCCTTTCCAAATACCTCTAATTGTAGAAAAGATGGAATTCATTGCAAATGCTTTGAGTGAAGGAAACAAAATATTTAAAGATGGATATGTCCCACAAATTTCAAGGGGAAGAAACTTTGAAGATGATTGTTGATGCTGGATGTGAGGAAGACAAGATCTCTAAAATTTATTGCTTCCTCATGAATGATGTGGCCAAGTTAAGGGCAGTAATTCAATGTCCACCTCTGTTGCGCAAGCAAGTGATTATGGAGATGGTTTTCGGTTCTTAGTTTGTTATTGATTGGAAGGAAAACACTCTTTTGTTGTAGACACTTTGTAAACACTTATTTTGACATGGTCTTTCTTTTGAATTTTTTTGTTTGTCCACATGATGGCATTTGATGGCATTTTATGCCATGCCCTGTGATATTTTATAAGGTCATGTGATGGCATTTGATCACATTTTATGCTAAGCTATTGATATTTTGTAAAGCCATATGATGATAGATGCTAAAATTTTATGCCATGTCTTATGATATTATATTGTGCCATAGAATCAAGTTTATAATTATTTTCATTATCTTCTTTCAACATTAGAATGATATTTATAATTAGAATAATGTTTATAATCTTCTTTCAACATTAGAATAATATTTATAATTACTCATAACTTTCAGTATAATTTTGGATATAAAAACAATTATAGTTATTAATTATGTATTATGATTTTATTTATTTAATTTTGCTAATTATAAAAAGTTGATCTCATATATTAAATGTTATTTATAATTATATTTTATTAATTATTCTATAAAGTTTGTAAAAATCAACTTAAATAATATAAGGGTAAAGTTGTCTATACAAAAATATTTTGCCTCCCCTCCCTTCTTAAACCAAATAAGATAACATTAAAACTTCTCTTCGTCCATCAAATTAATTCAAACAAAATAATATTAAAATTCTTCTCCTCTTTTTTATTTCTTTCTTTTTATTAAAATCCCTCCTTTCCTCACTATTGAGCCAAATACACCGGACCTGGCTTCTCTCCGCTACCCTCCTCTACCCAAAACACTGCCGTTTTGGGTGCAAAATGAGGGGAGCTGATTGTTTTTTTTTTTTTTTTTTGTATTTTGAAGTTTTTTTTAGTAGCATCTAAAATATTTTTTTGGTAGCACCTAATGTCTCATAATAATTTTTGGTACACTTAATACTCTAAAATATTTTTTGATACATTTAACATCTTAAAATATTTTTTTCATAAGCATCAAATATCCTAAAATAATTTTTTGTTACATTCAGTATTATATAGATGCTACTAAAACAACTTCAAAATACAAAAAAAAAAAAAGAAGCAATCAGCTCCCCTCATTGTACACCCAAAACGGCAGTGTTTTGGGTAGAGGAGGGCAGCGGAGAGAAGCCAGGTCCAAATACACCCGGGGTAGAGCCAGGAAAACGGGCCGAGCCCGTCGGGCCGAGCCCGTTTAAGCCCGTTTAAGTCGAGGGCCGGGCTTGTATTTTGGAGCCTTGAAAGGGAAGTCGGGCTTAAAAGGGCTAGCCCTGTAGGGCCGAAAAATAAACGGGCCGGCCCGTTTAGGCCCGCCAAATTATTATTTTTTTTAATTTTTGTCTTTTTTTCTTAACTTAAAAAAGAAAACCCTAACATTTTAAACATAGCATACTCTTAGTTTTACTTATCTTGGCAGCTCACATAGATAGCATTCACAAAAAGAAAAAAAGAATCACTATAGTTGTGGGAAAAATAACCAAAAAAACATGAAAATTGCAAAATTTAAAACTAGTATATTCATAAAAATATATTGTTATTTATAAGTTGTCAAAACCTATTAAAATATTGTATCTATAATTTTTACAGTCTTTATTTATCATTCTCCCATATTTTTTATACTTGAAATATAATTGATCAAAAAATCTTTTAAACTAAAATAAAGATCTATATCATTTTTATAGTAGAAACAAATTTAGAACTAAGAATGATGGACTCTTTTCTTTTTTGTCGGTATGATAAATGATTATTCTTTATGTATACTATGTTTGTTAGTTAAACTTTTTTGTTAATTATTTATAATCAAACTAGATCATCCGCATTGTAATTATCTACTGAACTTAATGCTTATTTAGTTGTTTATATTTGTCCTCTATTTAGTTTGTTTATTCAATAGACTTTATTATACTGTAATATATGTTTAGACATGATAATATTTATATTTGTGACTCAATTTTATTTATATTTATACCTTTTATTAGTAATTTTTATTGTTTCATTTTTATTATTTTGATAAAATATACAAAAAAATAAAAAAATTATTTTAATTAAAAAGACAAAAAACCCGCGGGCTAGCCCGAACCCGTCATCTCACGGGCCGGGCTTGAAAAAATGACTTATTTTTAGAACTCGAGTTTAAACGGGCTGGCCCGTTTAAGCTCGAGCCCGTCACGGGCCGGCCCGGTCCGTTTTCCCAGTACTAACCCGAGGCATGGAAATTGAAAGGCGGGACCGGGCCGGGTTTCGTCAGCACGGAGCGCACGTTAGCTCACTTCACGGAGCAAGAAACCCACACTGCCTGCGCCCCCTAGCTTCCACACACCTAACCAAAACATATCTCTGTGACACCATCACCTGTTTTACAAAATCTCGTCATCCCCCTCCCCTTTTTCTCTGTGTAAATTAGGGTTTCTTTCTGGCTCAGTCTTTATCACACTCCGCTAATCTTTGGATTCTTAGAGACTTTTTGTGCTTCAATGCCTGCGAATTTTGTCTGCAAATTCCAGAGAGTGCCAAGCGGTTCCATTCTTGAGCGATTTTGGCATAGAGCGGAGGCGGGCTATTCGATTCAGTTTATATCACTTGCCCTGATTTGACTATAGCTGCGGTGGCTTCCTCTTATGGCGCCTAGCCGCAGAAAGGGCGCTAGCAAAGCAGCCGCCGCTGCCGCCGCTCGCCGCCAATGGAAGGTCGGCGATCTTGTACTTGCTAAAGTGAAAGGCTTCCCTGCTTGGCCTGCTACGGTAGGTGCTCCCTTTTCAACTACTGGTGAAATTATCTATTTTGCGGTCGGCTGTAGTGTCTATTGTTTACTTTTATTATTTTCTTTCATTGCATGTTGCTTATATTCTGAGCATTTCCTTTTGTGTAGAGTCCAATACTTCATTTTCGTTAGAGCGCAAGCGTGTCTGCCTGGATTTATGAATTTTAATTTCAAAGTCATCGGTTCTTGGATACTTTTTTTTGCGCGATTAGTTATCTGTAAGTGTTTAGAGTTGATTCAGACGGTGGATTAAGGAGGGGTGTTCCTAGTTTTCTTGCCTTACATGTTCCATCCCCATGAGCCTTGTGGATTTTGGTCACTCCTTGGGTAGACCAAATCGCACACTTGTAGAGATATTTAGTCAAAGTTTGAATTGAAGCTTTGCATTAGACGTACCCCCGCCCACTCACACACATTAAACATGAAAAATTTATCTTTCTATTTGGATCATTAGAAATGTATCCTTTTAAGAACAACGATCTAAGAAGGTAGAGGGTAGAGACAATATGCAATGCCACTTAGAGCGACTGTGGTACTTGTCCATCTTCCCCCTACCAGGAGAGCAAACAAAATATGAGGAAATTGACATATTTAAGTAAGGGGCAGGAGAAGGGGCGAATATGTGCCTTTTATCCTCCATGGTAATATGCGATTGTCACATGTTAACTGCTATGATATGCTTATATTTACTTATCTATTTTTAAATTTTTCCTTCTAGGTTTTTAGGGGTAAATTTTAATTGGCTTGTCAAGTTATTTGCTTCTCGCAGGTAAGTGAGCCTGAGAAGTGGGGTTACTGCACTGACTGGAAGAAAGTACTTGTTTACTTCTTTGGCACCCAACAGATGTAAGTTTTTAACGCCATATCTTTTTAATTGCTTAACATCGATTAGCAAGCTTAAAGCTTATGGCTATTGTGTGCTATATCATTTTTGGAATCAAATATGCATTACGAAACAGATATTTGACAGTGTTTATTTTATTGTTTGGCAAAGACTGGAGATGCTGAATATTTGGTGTTGAGATGGTCTTGCTGCTAATGTCTCAAAGATTTGGCATTTTTCTATGAACTGTTTAGGTTGGGGCTTCTAGTGATGTAATCATGTGCTCATTTCGCAGCCTTCTTTTCTATGAACTAAACTAGATGGGTTATAGGAGTAAAGTTGTGTTCTTGTGCCAAAGTGGTTCTCGTTTTGTTTTCACGTGTTAATGGTTGGAGGCTTGGCGAATTTTCTTTGTTAATTTTTGGGGAGGTTCAACCTGTTGGCTCTCAATCACCATAGATCACTTATGACAATAATAATTGTTGATGAGAGGTCTTCTTGTTTCTGGAGATATACCATTACCAGATCTTATGCTCCCTGGGTTCAAAATATGAGCATCAAATTTTTGAAGGGGCTTGGTTTTTTTAGAAGCATCACTTCAGATTTGTCTGATCATTTAATATATATTTTTATTTTTACCCCTAATTAATTATAGGTCTCATATCTTTTTCTACTCATTCTCTTTCACCTCCTTTTCTGCTTATTCTCGCTCCCACTTACCCTCCCTATAAATAAGGGTCTTTTAGGAAAACAAGTTGCATTTTCTACATATTTATTATCTTTAATGAATTTTAATTAACTTTTTGAATTGCGTGAATTAGTTATTTAATGTTTATATTTTGAACCGGACGGGGTATATGGGGACTACTAACCTCCAGAACTTAGCATTTTGACTAAAAGTTCTCATTCTTTCATTGAAAAACATGATAAACCCAAAGGTATATAAGTTGGTATTTCACAATGCAAATTTCTGCGCCATTATTTGGTGAGGGGAAATGAATGGAATACTGATTATATTTAGCATCCCCTACAGTCTGCGGGTAGCATTGATGTATTATCTCTTAGGTTTAGTCATTGTTTCTGGCATGCTGAGAACAACTCTAAACATGAGATGATGTGACACTATTGAAAGTTTTGTGACCGTGCATAGGGAGTAATGCTGCTGACTCTGCCTTTCTACTTATTTCATATGATGGGAATGTTCTATGTAGTGGCTACCCTGAGAAGCTTCATGTATTTCCTTTCCAAATGTTTTGGCTTCAATTTTCTACAGCTTATGTCCTAGAACTCCAAGTCAGTTTTGGATTATGTTAATGTAGCGCCTGTTTTGTGAGGAGATCCTGACAACCTGTTGGGACTTGTTATGATTTGTAATCTATCAAGTAAAATTCTGAGGTAGGGAAAAATTGAGTCCTTCTTTTTAAGTTTATTTTGAAATATTCACATCAGGAAAAATTGGCGTTTAGTCTAGAATTACTCTTCCTGATTTATCAGGGGGCGCATGTTGTAAACATGGATGAATTGAAAAGATTTGCTACTTAAAATTATTAATTGAGTGATAAACTGTACTGACTTATGGGGACTTGTTCCCTTGAAAGTTGGGATTGAAATAGATCTTTATTGTTAGTAGCTTCTTGTTCGCACGTGAAGTAACTTCATTTGGTCGGGAGCTGGAATGAACGTTTTGAGCTTTCAGGGGCTTTTTCTTATTGACTATGATAATTGACCTAGGACTATGTCTTTGGGCACAACACAGTGTGTCCTTAGATATGTGCTTGAACAAATTTGAAGTTCACTTTTGACTTGAAGAAGAGATCTTCGAAGCAATCTCTAGTCTCTAGTTTAAAAGTAGGGGATCATTGCCTTAGCTACACTAGCTTAAAAGGGAAGAAAGTATTTAGAGACTGTGGTATAAAATGCGTAGTATCCTATATTTTCATTCGTGTTTTGATTGAATAAATGCTTGATAAAGATTGAGTCGAGATATGTAAAATCTGGGTTGCAATGTGAAAAATTAAAAATTTTGATCTAGGGCCTACATATGTAATTTTTATCTTCATGCCATTTTAGTTTCCTTCCAATGCATGAGCATATAATTTGCTCGACTATCATGTTGCATTAGGTTTAAAATGGTAATTTGTCATGCAGAGCTTTCTGCAATCCTGCTGATGTTGAAGCATTCACTGAAGAGAAGAAACAATCTCTTCTTGTCAAACGTCAAGGAAAGGGTGCTGACTTTGTCCGTGCGGTGCAAGAGATTATTGATAGTTATGAGAAATTGAAGGAAACCCAAGTTGACATAACTGACTCTGGTGAAGTGTCCGGTGTAAATGTTACAATTCCTGTTGATTCATCAGCCAAATTATCTGCCAACTTAGGGTTAAAGGATGAGACACAGGACCATGATTCCGTACATAATTCTCAAATTCAAACTTTGACTTCTTTCACTGACCAACATGAGACAACGCACGCAGCTGAGGAAGTCTTGGCAGTTGCACCAAAGGATGAATCATCTAGTAAAGAGACTTCATCAAAGGAGCTTATTGATAATGCTGGTGCTACTGCAAAATCTCCTTATCCAGTTACTTACTCTTCTAGAAAAAGATCTGTGGACTTGCGTCCTCAGGGTAATGTCACACAGAGAAATGCACCTGTTCAGAAGTCTAGAAGTTCATCACGAGTCCAAAGCTTTGTGAGGCCTTGTAGTGATGGTGGGAAAAGTGCTGTTGATGGATCAGCTAGTGCAGCTCAGAATGTATCTGTGAGAAGAAGTAAACGCGGCAGGAAATCACCTGATATTTCTGAATGTGATGATGCTGATCCATCTGCATTTGCTTCAAATGACAGCACGGAAGACAATCGTTCTGAAATTCTCACTATTGATTCGGATCCCCTTAGCCTGAATGAGGGAAGTACCATGGACTCAAACTGTAAACTCGAACTCTCTGAGACTATTGAGTGCGCAGAAGGAGAATTTGAGTTGAGCAAAGGACTTGTTGAACTAAAGACTCTAGTCAAGAAGAAAAAAAGAAAGCCAAATCGAAAGCGGTTGACTGATGATTCTGCCAAGCGAACCACTATGCCAGAGGAGGATGCTGGTGTGTTGAATTCTAGTCAAAGGTCACAGGATGTTTGTGAACGCCCAAAAGATAGATGCTCCAAGCAAGATGGTGATGAGCACCTGCCACTTCTGAAACGAGCTAGAGTCAGAATGGGTAAATCATCAGCTACAGATGCGGAACACAATAGCATTACAGAATCTCAAGATAAAAGATCTGAGGAGAACAGTATCAACTCATTTCAGCATGTATCCTCAACTCATGACAATCTTAGTATTGCTGAGGGAGACTTGTCTGTGTCAAATATGGTAATGGATAATGTTTCTCCTCCAAAGAGTTCTGTCCCATGTTCTGAAAGTGGGCCTCAGATTTGTAAAATTAAAGACCAAACTTTAGGCTGTTCTTTGGATGTTGAAGCTGCTTTACCTCCATCTAAACGCCTCCATCGAGCTCTAGAGGCCATGTCAGCTAATGCTGCTGAAGATGGTGATGATCAAGATCGTGCAGAATTATCACACAGCACAATGACATCAAATAGTAGATGCTGTACATCTTCCATCAATAGATGTTCTTGTACAGCCTCTAATAATCAAGGTGAGAATGACTTTGAAATGCTAGAGATGGGCACTTGTGGCAATGATTCTTCTCATTTTAAAGCATGCAATTTCTCAACCAGTTTAAATTCAGTAATTTGTAATCCTTCAGAGAATAAATTATCTGTAGAGATGGATAAGCAAATGATTGAGCTTCCAACCCATGAAATTTGCAAGGACGTCCTACCATATGGCAAAGACAGAGAAGTCGACAAAGAACCTACTAATTCTGTGGTATGTCAGACTGATGGATCTGACGCCCCAATTCATTTACTTGGAAATTTGTCTTCTAATCTTGAAATGAAATGTTGTGAAGTTGGAAGCAGTCAGGATTTGCCTGGTTCATTGCTGATCCCAAATGATGAAAGCAATATCAGAGCCGCTGACATTTCAAATAAAGCATCTGGTTTATCAGAACGTATAGGAACAGGTCATGATCCCGCATCAGGTGCCAATGAAAGTGGTGAATTTTCAACCCAAAATATTGCTCATGTGCCTCAGAATGAAGTTCCTCAAGATACTGGGTGCTTGAAGCTGGCTGTTGATGATAGCAGCAATTTGAATGAGATGTAAGCCTAATCCTGCCTTGCTTTAGTTTTTAGCCTTCTAAATCTTCCTTCCATGCAGAAGTATAATAGAAAGAAAGAGAACTAGTTGTGTATTATTAAACCACTTACAGCACCTTCCTGATCCCTTGTTGTATCGGTAATAATTATTATTGTAGAGTTGCTGGGTTGAATTTCTGTTGCCTTCTCTAGATTATCCTTGTGTCACTGTGTAAGTAGTTGCGGTTTTCAACCTTAAATTTCGGTGAGTTTAAAGGAAAAGTCAGGGAGAGGAATTATTTTTTAATAATAGTGAATCTCAAAAGAGATATTTGTTTTGCATTCTTTCTACACAAAGTTCATGATATTTAGTATCTTGTTTCAGGTGTGAGGCTGTGAAAGACGTCACATATAAAGGGCCTAAGGAGGATATGAATTCTGGTTCAATTTCTGATGATTGCTTTGGTGAAAAGGATATTATAGGTCTTCAGCCAAGTCCATCTTTGACAGATGGGGGAGATTGCCCTGCACAAGGATCCCCACCAAATACGTCATTTTGCAATGTTTCTACATCAGACAGTAGCAATATCCTTCAAAATAATGGCAGTTGTAGCCCTGATGTGCATTTACACCAGAAGCAAACTTTTTCTGGTCCTACTGGTGATGGGAAGATCGATGGGTTTGCAGCAACTCAACGATCAAAAAACAAGTCCACTGAAGCAGGACATGCTGCTCTGCTGTACTTTGAAGCAACGCTTGGGACATTAACAAGGACAAAGGAGAGCATTGGGCGTGCCACACGCATTGCTATTGATTGTGCCAAGTTTGGCAGTGCGGCTAAGGTAACCTAATAGTGTTTGTTTTTCAGTTTTTCCCTCCAGAAATATCAAAATGATTTATTTTCAATGATTTTGAGGCATGAATGGTTTTATTTGTACTCCAAACAATTAATCTTTTTATGATTTCTTTTCTCTTTTTTATGTATTTTGTACCTGACCAATTTGACTTGTGGATTAAATTCTTGTTTAATGAAAGCTTTATATTGGCCTTTGATTTTGATTCTCTGTTGGTGTGAAGGGTTTATTTCTGAGTGAATAGTGCCACCTGCTTGAAACATTAAAACCAATTTACTGCTTGTGGAATGCTTCAGATGCTCCAATGGTGCAACAACCGTCTCGTATACTTATAGGTGGAATTTGTTATGGAAAATCAATTTGGGACTCTTTGAAGATATCATTCACAGTCGTTCACACCCCATCTTTTTTCAGATGCTCTATCTACCTTTTCCTCAAATATTTCTCCCTTTTGCGACTTTATATTTCTTGTTCTGTGGAAGAAATTGGGAAGGCTAATGGAAAATAAATTTATACTGCTTTTGTGATGTAAAAATTTGAATTTTGGGATCATTGGTTTGATGCATGCCATGCGGTTTCTGTTTCAAATTTTGATTTGTTTAGCAAGGACCATTTTGATACTCAAACTTTATGGGCCTGTCAAGACTGAGAAGCTGCAAGAGCACTAGATATTTTGAAACTGGGAGTCTGCATTTGGTTGCCTTGGTGACCTTGGTTATAGTGATTTTTGTTTTAAATTTTGTTTGAGAGGTTATTGTGCATGTATGGTGATTAATTTCAGGGCGGAAGTGTTTTGAATTGTTTTGTGACTAGGCTTATTGTCTTTTTACTTCATTAAGGTGGTTCCCCACATTAAGTAAATAGGCTTGTATGTGTATCATAGATGGGGAATGGTTTATTTCTGGTCAAATGAGAGTTTATGCCCAGGGTAATTGCTTGTGAAATCAACTTTAAGATGTTGATCCCTGAAGTCATACGTTTTGTGAGAACGCACTTTCTAACGAGTACGAGGATCAGGCATATATTGAGCCTGGAGGGTTATTACTAATGAGTACTTCCTTCGCTATTCAGGTAGTTAGAGTTTAGTGAGAACTCACTCTCTAGAATGTTTGTATAGTTTCTGAAAAGCATTTTTAGGAACTGTTTTGCTGTTTTCCTATGTAGAAAAACGTACTAGGGTCTGTCATGGTATTCTTAAATCATGGGGAAAGAAAAATATATACATTGAGGTAGAGGTTTTTATGATCCCATTTTCACAGAAGGCTGGATTAATTAGTTTGACTGAGTACAATAACTTCAAAATAGGCACAAGTATGGTTCATTTATTGTAGTTATTCAACTGTTGTTTTGTTAGCAAATTTGCTCCTTAATTAGAGAAGTTCGTTAATTAATTAATTAATTAATTCGATGTTTTAGGTGGTGGAGATTCTTGCCCATAGTCTGGAAACTGAGTCAAGCTTGCATCGACGGGTGGATTTGTTTTTTCTTGTTGATTCCATTGCGCAGTGTTCTCGAGGTTTAAGGGGTAACGTGTCTATCACTTGATGCTGCTTTAATCTTGTTGAGAAAAAAAATAAAGGAAAGGAAGGTTGTAGATGAAATTCAATGACTCGGTGGGATATGTGTATATGGTATTTGATGTTAAATTTCCTTTGAACTTTCAGGTGACGTTGGCGGAGCATGTCCTTCTGCTATCCAAGCAGTTCTGCCACGCCTATTGTCAGCTGCGGTGCCTCCTGGAAATACCGCACAAGAAAATCGTAGGCAGTGTCTTAAGGTAAGTTAATGAAGTTCCCCATCTGCTTAGGTTAAAACTGTGTGTTTTGATGTCACCTCTATGCTTCTGTATCATTATTCTTGTTAAACTTTCCTCTAAATGTGTCAAGGTTCTAAGGCTGTGGTTGGAGAGAAGAATTCTGCCAGAATCAATTATACGTCATCATATCCGGGAATTGGACTTGTATAGTGTGTCTGCATCTGCAGGTGCCTTCTCGCGACGTTCTTTAAGAACAGAGAGGGCTTTAGATGACCCTATCAGGGATATGGAGGGTATGCTTGTAGACGAATATGGAAGGTTTGAATTTGCTGCGGAATTTTTTCTTTACTTTTATTTTCACTTGTTCATGTACTTTTTGAAGTGAGTCTTTTAAAATTATGTTTTCATCTTGCAGTAACTCGAGTTTTCAGCTACCTGGATTTTGCATGCCCCGAATGCTTAAATGTGAAGATGATGGGAGCGATTCTGATGGGGGAAAATTTGAGGCAGTCACTCCTGAGCATGATTCTGAAGCACACGAAGTGTGTGAAATGACTCCTACACTTGAAAAGCATAGACATATCTTGGAAGACGTTGATGGTGAGCTTGAAATGGAAGATGTGGCTCCCTCTTGTGATGTCGAAATGAATTCAATTTTAGATATTAATAATGGAGGAAATGGGGATGCCGCACATATGTCTAATTGTGTGACAAGTAATCTGATGGAGAAGAACATTCCTGTGTCCTTTGTTCCTCCTTTGCCTCAGGATGTACCTCCATTGTCCCCTCCTTTGCCATTATCCTCTCCACCTCCCCCACCGCCACCCCCACCCCCTCCCCAACCTCCTTCCCTCCCCTTCACGCCAGCTATCTCTCATCCATATAGCACTGGAGCTATTTCAAAACTCAATAAAGATGCACAGGTATGTTTCACCACTTTGCAAGGTACCTTAAACTCATACTTTTGCTTATATTGCTGACAAGTCGTTTTGCTCTACCTTTCCATGGGTGCCTATATTTGCAGATTGTGAAAGATAACCCACTGCCCTCAGTGACTGAGGCTTTGGCCGCACCAAGGGATAACCAACCTTTGCATGAGGTTGTTCCCTATCGAGTTCCAGAATGTAGGGATATGCCAATGCAGCTGCCTGAGTCTACTTCCTCTTTCAGCAGTCATCCACCGCCACCTGACAACTTTCGTTATTTTGATGGTGCTAGTGTGCATGCTAAAGGTTACCCTTTACGTCCACCTCATCAAGTGCCCTCCAATCAGTTTTCTTTTGTTCATGGGGACCAGCATGTGAAGCCACGAAGGGAGGCTCCACCCCCTTCATACTCCAATAGACACCACTCTATGCATAACACAGAGAGAGAGAACTTCCGCAATAATCATGATAGATTAAAACCACCTCCATATGACTTCCGAGAGAGATGGAGAGTTCCTGCTCCTTACTCTGGTAAGATTGTGAGGACTTACGATTCACGTGTTATTGGGGATTATAATTTGCATTAATTTTTGCTTATATCAGCATTAATTATCTTGAGAATTGTCCCTAGGTTCTCGGTATCAAGATAGAGGTGTGCCTCCCCCTTATGGCTGTCACCCATGTGAATCAGCTGGATTACCAGACCATGGGTGGAGATTCCCTCCCGGTCAATGAATCACAGGAACTCTATGCCTTTTAGACAACCCTTTGATGATGCCATTCCGATGGCAAGTAGAGGTGCTTTCCTCCCCTAACAAATGTTAAGAAAAATTTGCTTGTCAAAAATCTGTAGTTTGATAGTTTTCCATTCAATTGAATAAAATAGCAAGAGCTGTGCAGCTTTCTTGTTTTCCGTTTTTATTTGCACTGAAAATAAAAATTGGCTGTGAACATGTTTGGTAGAGTTTAAAGCAACATTTTCATTCATTTTTTCCATAAACTGGATGTTTTTGTAATTTTGAAATTCAAGATAACTATTAGTGAAAAGTAAATATAATTTCACACAAGACTCATGGTCAAACTCGAAAAGTCAGGTAATATTTATGGTCATTTTTGCCTATATTTGGTTCCTCAGATGAACGATTCTTAAATGCGCAGCAAATGTCTTCTTTTGAGAATGAAATTTGCAAATGAACACATTTTAAGAGAAATAAACGTAAATGATGAAAAGACCTGGATACTAAACTCACCATGTATTGTGTTTCAGGTCCGGGCTTTTGGCGACCAAGATGAGCAGAAATGACCAGCAAACTGAAGCGGATACGCTTCTATCTATTTGTAAGTCCTCTCAAAGGTTATCCAGTATTACCTGTATTATATCTTTACTCCATGAGCGTGTTATAATTAACTCTATAACATGGGCTCTGGCTTTGTTCAGGAGGGGGAATTTCCATTCTATCTTTTTGTACATGCTTGAACCTTTGGAGATGGTTGAGCAGAGTCTGCACAGGATATCGTAGTAATCTGCTAGATTTGTACATATGTATTTAGCCTCCTCTGCAAAATGCAGGGCAGGGAGAGTCTTTGTAGAGTGAGAGTTGTAACTTATTCAGGTTGTCATGTATCAATTTTTTAATCTCAAGTTTTATTATTTCATGAAAGCCCTTATAGAACTTAGATTGATAGCTGCATAAAATTTTCTCGGGCTGTTTCTTGAAATTGTTTATCTTAATATATTAAATAACTTCTCTCTTCCGGGCAACTATGTTGTTATATTTCCTTTTTTTTTTTTTGGTTTTGTTTTCCGGGATGTGGTCACAACTTTAGGGTTCCCAAATGCGTTGTTTGCTGGAGGATTTTGTGAAAAGTCGTCCAAGGATTTGGTGAGTTTCAACATTAGGTTGTCTTTGGTCCAAAAACACTTTTAGAAGTGCGCCCAGAGGAATTTACCACGTTTCATCGCCTGATGTGCGATACGTGTGGTCCGTTTAGTATCCACCCAGTGACCAATTTATGGGCTGAAAAAGAAAAAGAACAAAAATAATTTCACAAATGAGAAATGCCGTAGGTGTCTCTGCATAAAAGGATCAAGGAAAATTTTAGCAGAAGATGATGATGTAATAAAAAATTGTATTAAAGTATATGAAAAACAACGATGCGAAAGGGAACAAGCAAAAATAAGACAGATTTCAAGGCAAGGTTAAAAAAAGTTAGTTCGTTTTAAAACTAATTTAAGAAATAGTTATACTTTTGGTTTTTAATATAAGATTTATTTAATTAATTTGAATGAATTAAAAAAATTAGATAAGTTAGTTAATTATAAAAAAATATAATTTTTTTTAAAACATCATAATCGTCTTTCCTAATATCTTTCTTTTCCTTCCTACCTGATTATTGTTGAGGTAGTATCAATAAGGGTAATTTAGAAAAAAGAATAAATATAAAAAATAGATCTTACAGGGATCAAGATCGACTCAATAATCAGGTTTTATATTAAGGATCGAAAGAGTATTTTTTTTCTTTGGGCACACAATGAAATTTATCTTGTTTTCTACTTTTTTTCCCCGAATATAGAATAATGAAATTTTTTATGTGAATATTTTTTTTTGCCTTATTTGATACGCAAGTATTGGGGTATTGTTCATAATTAAATCTCTTGTTGGGACCAGATGATACTATATGCAAGTGAAAGATTTAACTTTTTACTCCAAAAATGATTTAAATTTTCTTCTTCAGAGTGATTTTATCCCCTTTTCTGGCGAATCGCCATTTTCTAAGCTCCAACTTAACAGGACACTCTTTCTCTGCTCTGGCGCTACCGTGCTGACTCGCAACAACGGATCGAAGACCTTTGTCACTGATGTGGGAGCAAGTGGCTGCCCGCAAGGACGTCAATCTCGGTGTCTATCATGCAATTTTTTCTCCTACTTCACTTCACATTGCCTCTGCACGTTTCAGAGAGAGATTAAGTTGTGCAATGCAGCATCTTTTTATGCGTTAACTTGATGAAAAATTTTGAAGTAAATGGACTGAAATCTCATTCTATTACATGAAATGCAATCAAATCTATCATGGCCATAGAGACATGCAAATGATCTGTTTTGCAGAAACTGCTTCACACTTGTGCCATCTATTTCATTCCATTCTTGCCTACTCCTATGTTCTAACTTAAAACTATGGCATGAATTTCTTTTATTTTCTCTAACTTGCTATTACGACCCTGAATGTTCTACGGTAATGCGGCTGGAGCCATCCACTTTTATAAACTGCAGAATTTACAGGTCCAAATTACAACAACACAGTTCACATCTTTCCCTGCCTTTTTGTGCGAGATTGAAAGACTTACTGCGATCCCTAAAGAAAGATGTAATCACTAAAAAATCCAATAACAAATGAATAGCATGAACCTATTATCATTTTCTGCACTAATATGATATTTTGTCATTACCTGCTACTTACTTATCATTAAGACTTTTTAGTATCCATATTGTCTTCCTTGAGAATTCACAGTTTTCCATGCAAGATTCAGCTTCTGCTGCATTTGATGACAATCTGATATATCTGGTTTGGGACCTTGCAATTCGATCTCATTGATTTAACACAGAAAGGGAACCTCATCACACCCTTCACGCACACCATTTTGAAGGACTTGAAACGTAATTATCTTCTTATATCAAAGTTGAAA